AAGATTTTAAATTAATATTACTCAATCAGCAGTATGAGAAATTTTCAGGTAGTTATACTTTGATAACTAAAAAAGGAAACTGGGGCGCCTGGGTGGCTTAGTCGGTTAAGCGTCCGACTTTCGCTTAGGTCATGATCTCTCAGTTCGTGGGTTCGAGCCCCGCGTCGGGCTCTGTGCTGACTGCCAGCTCAGAGCCTGGAGCCTCTTTCAGAGTCTGTGACTCCCTCTCTCTCTGACCCTCCCCTGCTCACGCTGTGTGTGTGTCTCTCTCTCTCCTAGAAATAAAAAAATAAATAAATAAATAAAAATTTAAAAAAAATAAAAAAGGAAACTAATCACTGTGAATGAAGATCATACTGGAATATTCTGCTGTAAAATACACTCCTTGAATAAGAAAAGCTTTTTCTGAATACCATGTAAACCAGATTTAAATATGTTATGGGGCACTGTGGTAGTTCTGTCAGTTAAGCATCTAATTCTTGATCTCAGCTTAAGTCAAGGTTTTGTAATTTTGGGCTCTGCACTCAGTGAGGAGCCTGCTTGGGAGTCATTCTCTCTCTCTCTCTCTCTCTCTCTCTCTCTCTCTCCCCCTCTCTCTCCCCCTCCCTCCCTCCCTCTGGCCCTTCCCCAACTCATGCTTTCTCTCTCTCTCTCAAAATAAATAAAAATTTTAAAAATAAACAGATAAATAAGTCATACACTATTTAAGTCAAAGTTACTATTGTTTGCGTTGTTAGGAAGACAATTCTTAACTTACAAAGTTTAATCTCAACAGAAAGGGAACAGACAATATTTTATTTAAAGAAAATCATGTCTCTTTAAAGGTCAGGTGGTATCATACTGCTTTATATATATATGCAACTGAACTATAAAAAATAAGGTTCTGGCAGAAAACCATGGAGTAAATTATAGCAACACAAGAATTGCGAAGCTGCCAAGTGTCTGTCATGAAACTACTCCTGTGTGTTACCTGACACATAAGCTACACTCTGAACTCCTTTCCAAAACATTTAACCTGTATCCTTCATGTAATAATCTTTGAGTTGTCTGTGTCAAAGAAAACCAATCATACTTTTAGGTCTGCTCTTCTCTGTGACTAATGTAAATCCACTGTGTAAGAACCCATCATCAGATGCAGGAGAAAAGGAGGGAACACAGAATCCCATTACAAATGTCTTTGTTGTCTAAGCCATTCTTTGAAAAAAAAAAAATAGTAGAAGAGAGAAGTCCCTCTCTCAAGCTTCTAAGATTTAATTACACCCTACTTTTAAGAGTTCATGTTTTTCAGGAATGTTTACTTTCAAGAGGCAAATTACTTTCTTTGAAAAGCCTGTTTTCAGTCTGTATTAGGTATGCCAAGATTCTTCAGGGGAAGAAATAACCGAGCATCGAAGATGAATCCCACAGAATTTTGCATGAGGATGCCAGTTTTAAAGTCTGAAGAGGTCAGTATTCTGGCTCTTTTTTTTTTTTTAATGTTTTATTTATTTCTAGGAGAGAGAGAGAGACAGCGTGAGCAGGGGAGGGTCAGAGAGAGAGGGAGTCACAGACTCTGAAACATGCTCCAGGCTCTGAGCTGGCAGTCAGCAGAGAACCCGACGCGGGGCTTGAACCCACGAACCACGAGATCATGACCTAAGTGAAAGTCGGACGCTTAACCGACTAAGCCACCCAGGCACCCCAGTCTGGCTCTTGATTTTATCTGCAGCCATGGAGCCTGGATCTAGAGCTCTAGCACAAACATAAACGCAAAAATAACGGTACTGGATTCTCCGTTCCTTTGTGACTTCTATCTTGACATTGACAGAACCCCTGTAGTTCCAGTGCTTTTTCTGCATGCAAACTTTAGTTATGATGATACACTGGGAGTCAGATAAAGAGTAAACCCAGAGTAATACAAGCAACTAGCTTGTGAAGAAAGTTACCTGGCCAATTCGATATATATTATTACTTAAAGTCATTATTCTAAAATCCAAAGTGTAGGGGCGCCTGGGTGGCTTAGTTGGTTAAGCGTCCGACTTTCGCTTAGGTCATGATCTCGCGGTTCGTGGGTTCAAGCCCCGCGTCGGACTCTGTGCTGACTGCCAGCTCAGAGCCTGGAGCCTGTTTCGGAGTCTGTGACTCCCTCTCTCTCTGACCCTCCCCTGCTCACGCTCTCTCTCTCTCCTAGAAATAAATAAAACGTTAAAAAAAAATTTAAAATCCAAAGTGTAACACAATCTCCTAGGTTTTAAGTGTACTTGTAAAATTTAGTACAGAAAATTATCAGTGTGACTATTTTTTAGTAAGTTTATGAACACCAACATGACAGAATTATTCTTTTAAAACTTTTACATTAAATTAGAAACTCTTTGTAAAACCTAGTCTATGAATTATTATTCCAAGTCGTATAAATAAGGGGCACCTGGGTGGCTCTGTTGGTTAAGTGTTCCACTTTGGTTCAGGTCATGATCTCACAGTTCATGAGTTTGAGCCCAACATTAGGCTCCGTGCTGACACTGTGGAGCCTATTTGGGATTCTCTCTCTCTCTCTCTCTCTCTCTCTCTCTCTGCCCCTTCCACTTGCTTGCTACCTCATTCTCTCTCAAAAAAAAAATAATAATCTTAAAGAAAGTCATATAAACAAAAGATTTTATGTCAACTTTATTTTTCTTCATAGCACTCTTTTGTAATTTAGCAAAGAGCATGACAGATGTCTTATCCTAAAAATCCAAGTACCAAATGTTGAAGTCCATCCAGGAAGTGTTGGGTCAAATGGCCTTTACAAGTGTAAAACAATCACTAGCAAATACACAGATTACAAAACAAAGTGTTTTTAAAAATGTCCAGAATCAGTATAATAATTTTTGCATAACTTTTGAGTTCAGGGGTTTAGGAGATAGCATTAAAAAAAACTTCAAATAGAATTTTATTTATTTTTAATTTTTTTAAAAAATGTTTATTTTTGAGAGAGAGAGAAGGTCAGAGAGAGAGGGAGACACAGATTTCAAAGCAGGCTCCAGGCTCTGAACCATCAGCACAGAGCCCAACGTGGTGCTCAAACTCACGAACCATGAGATTATGACCTGAGCTGAAGTCAGAATGCTTCACTGACTGAGGCACCCAGGCGTCTCTCAAATGGAATTTTAATTGATAATAAAAGTACTGGCTTTCTATTTAATCTTCATAGAACTATACTGTCTCTTTGAATAAGGCCATATTTTCTATTCGCTAGTGATGTGGATAATAATGACCAGATTTGCTTTTATTTAAAAACAGAAAACATCTGTGGATGAGAACAACCAATGCATCTCTCCATGAATCAAGTCTTTAAGAGAAAAGATAGAAGTGAATGGAGAATTAGTAAAGATTCCTAAATGGCATTTTTAAGAGGTAGAAAAAGAAGAAAAAAACTCAAAAACAAAACAAAAAACCCTAAAACATTCATATAAGAGTATTTCAGTAGCTTAGGAATAAGTATTTCTCAGGTTCAAATGTTAAGATATTATCATATAAAAAACTATGTACCTTAACAGACGAAAACCATCCATTAACACTTCAACATAAACACACACACACACACACACACACACACACACGCTACCATATTCACACACATTTATACGGAAACCAGTTCGAGGAGATCTATTATAAAGGCAATATATACCCACTTTGTATACTTCTTTAAAGAAATATATTTATAAAGATTTTTAAATAAATGAGAATCCACAATTATATCAAACTAGACACTTCTGAGCTGCCAAAGACTCAAACAAATTGGGAGTATGGATTCAGATTCGAGTAGAATTACATCGATTTCCTTTTCCAGTTACACACACTTTATCCCATATGCACCAAATATCTTCGAAGTGGGCAGGCCCCAGTTTAGAAATCCTTCAAAGAGCAAGTCAGGTAGATACCCCAGGGCCTCTGCCAGCAAAAATTCATCACACTTAAAATCGATGCAACATTCTGGTTAAAGCTGGAAGCTTTCTGATGTCACAATCCATGTGGCATTCTATGACAAGTGTGTTTTCCTTCTGCCCAGACTTCACGGAGCAAGTACAAGCAGGCTTTTGAATCAGTGCTCCACTTGAAGTATTTGCTTGCTCTGTGAGATTTATACTAGACTGTAGTTTGGCTCGCTTATAATGTAATTCCTGGGCTATACGCGTCTACAAAGTGACAGAAATAACAGGAGATGTGAAAAATGCAACAATACTAAAACCAGATGTGGGTGTAAAATTCCAGGACCATTTATTTGTGCATTCTGCCTTTTAATGTACAATCTCGGTGTTGAAAACAAAAGGTTTTGGGTGTTTTTTTTTTACTCTGAGAATACCTGGAACCATGAAACGTTTAGAGGAGATGAAGGAGGGAATTTATGGGATGGGGAGTTGAGGGGGGGTGAGGGGTGGGGAGGAAAGAGAAGCCGAGAGAAGGGCAGTATGAAGCAAGGGCCAGTGTTGGGGGGGGGGGGTTCATCTAAATCCACGCTATCTTTTTCAGTAATCCACCTCGTCTTTTTTCTGCTTGTATTTTGTTTAAATCTAACCTTGAAACAACTCCAAACAGGCAGGTTAAAGGTCAGAGTTACTGTGATTTCTGGATAAGCAAGGAACTAAGAACAGCTGTTCTTAGGGACAACAGCCTTGTGCCCAAGAACGTGGTAGGTTTTCTCCCCCCTAATTTTACCAAGACATATCCTGCCCAAACCTTCTGGCTTGGGAGAAATCAACGAGTTGCATTTTAGGTGTAAAACACCTACATTCAGGAGTCAAGGAGAGTTGTAGTTGTTAAATTGTGAGCCATGTGTTTATTATAAACACTGCAAACACCCCTCTCTTTTAAAGACTCACTTTAATATTCTACTATGAATTTCTTGTTTGGCTGCCATGAAATGATGACCCCAAAGCTATCACAGGGCAATAGGAGTTATCGTTCTACCACAAACACCTGCTTTAATAGTCAAAAATAAATAGCAAGATTTGGTTACTCTGCATTTTTATTAACAAACTTACATGATTTCCTGTTGGAAACTTTCAAGGGCTGAACTAATATTTCTGGTCGTCTCAGCGCCAATCTCCTGGGGGAAGAAGAAGGTCAGTGCCTATCAATTTTCAGTGCAGATCCAAGATTAATATAACACCAAAATATTAAAAGTCCTAAGGAAAAAAAAAAGGGAAGCCAGGGGAAAAATGGACACAATGCAATCTATTCAAATTTAAAAAATGCATCCTCTAACTTCCAAATTTTTAGAAATCCTCCCTACTCCAAAATCACTCTTCTTCTTTTTCCATCTTTCACATCAATACAGCTTCGGATATTAATGTGCTATTTTTCCATTTGCTTCATCACAAAAACCGAATATGACCTGGTGCTGTCGTATTATTTTTGGTCATTATTCATACTTAGTTAGACAAAACAGAAATCCAAACCTGGGGGATAAAATATTCTAAAGCAAGGTTTTAGTGCTTATTTTATCACAACTATCCTCGAGTGATATTTTGCAGAGAACAAAAGGTCACTTGAAGAAAGCCCAGTCATCGCACGCCAGTTGCTCACCTTTCCTGGAAATGCTTTGAGGGAATCAAGCCTGCCCTGGGATTGGCATCACCTTCATGCTTTGCTTGCCACCAGGTTGCATCATCTTGGCTCATAATCTGAAGAATATCTCCCTTTTTGAAAGAAAGCCCAGCTTCCTTACATGGAATTGCTTTATCCTCATTAGGGTCATAGTCAAAGAGGGCTTTGATAAATATCTGGAAGAAAGTTTCATTTAAAAGGAATAAATAACAAAAAAATAAATGTAGAAGGGCCAACATTCTTCTCTGACTTAAGAATAATTTTTAAAAAGGAGATTATTAAAATCAACTTGCTGTAACAAAGAGGATATGCATTAGAAGGAAAAATATTAGTGTCCCTCCCCCAAACCAAAACAAACCAAAAAGCTTTTTAAGTAATGATTACCTTGCCTTCTTTAGATGGCGTCTCCTCTTTGATGCTGGGTATAATCTTAAATGTAATTGCTCCCTGAGACTGAGCCTGATAACAGAGGAAAGACTTATCAGAAAACCTGAAGAGCCATGGAGAAGGCAGGCAAAATAGGTAGAAAATGGAATGATTCTGAAAATTTATAAGCTTGGGGTTTCTACTCTTAAACCAAACCGAGGAAACTATTTTTGTAGAAATTCCTGTAATATGAGAAAGCACTTCAAGTTTGTCAAGTAAGTTAAAAAACATTAAATACCAAATCCACGTTTACCTCCTGTGCACTTTTAAAACGCCAACGAACATATTACCACCCATGTTGAGCAACTTCAAAATAAAAACAGAATATGCACAGTGCCTCATACAGACAATATTACACAGTTAGCACAGACGATGTGCAGGGTTCAGGTTATTACATTTAAGTATCGGCATCCATGTTTTTAGGGTCAAAATACCTGAACTGTCTGTCAGCAATGCAGTTGTAAATATATGGTTCAATTACATACATATACATATATGTATATACATACACACACATACATATATATATACGTTTGTATATGTATTAGCTGCAATGCTCATCATAAAAAATAATGAGGAACATTCAATGCTATTAAATTCTGGTTGGGGAGTAAAATATCAGTGTAATAGCTTAATTAAAAGGTAAAAAGATATCCATTCTAATTTAATTAAAGCAAGCAACAATATGTGAAATTCTTTTCTGACCATCTCAGACAAGAGTAGGTCTCCCTTTAATATACTCTCATGTCATTCTCTAGTTCTCTTTTTAGCATTTATCATAACTGTACCTAAATAATCATTATACAATCATTTCTTAATATCTGTTGTCCCTGCTAAATTGTAAGCTCTGTGAAAGCACTATCTGGCACATATTTGAGAAAAACAAGGAGGGAAAGCAAAGAGGAAGACAGCATGAGGCATATAGAAAAGGAAGGAGGCAGGAAGGAGGGAGAGAGAGTGAGAGAGAGAGAGAGAGGAGAATGGGTAGATATCTCTGAGGCTTACTATCGAGGGTATGCTCATAAATCAGGACTCCACAGTGTAAATAAAAGAAAAGGCCCTGATTTTTATTGTTTGGCAATTTTCATGGACCACAGCCAAATTCCATTTACCAGTGTGACGTCCCTGAAAGTCAAGCTGGGAAAAGCCTTACAGAATCAGGTCGTGAAATGTAAAGAGGCAGCCCCAGTACAGCACAGAGACTCAAGTAAAATGGGGTTTTAACAGTACAAATATTTTATAACAGAAATGATTTCAAAATGGTACTATCACTGTTATTGCTTACCAAAAAAGAATTCACAATTTTTTTTAAAATTGTTTTAAATGTGTATTTTGAGAGAGAGAGAGAGAGAGAGAGAGAGAGCGCGCAAGCAGATGAGGGGCAGCGAGAGGGAGACAGAGAACCCTAAGCAGGCTCCGCACTGTGAGCACAGAGGCTGATGCAGCATTCAAACTCATGAACCGTGAGAAGCCTGAGCCAAAACCAAGAGTTGGACACTTAACCGAGTGAGCCACCCCGGGATCCCAAGAATTCACAAATCTTATTAGGAATTCATATAATACTGAATTGCACAGGTAGAGAGGAGGCAAGTCTTCTCTACAATCTCTTCCTTCTACTAGTGTGTGTGTGTGTGTGTGTGTGTGTGTGTGAGAGACAGAGAGAGAGAGAGGAGAGAGAGAGAGAGAGAGAGAGAGAGAGAATGTATACAAAGCTCTTAAAACAGTGACCTTGAAGGGCTGAACCACTGTAAGCAGTTACTAGTATTACTAGGTCATATGGGTCTATCAGCCACTGTGATTGCCTCATAGTAATCCACGATGTGAGTGAATGATTAGTCAATTGATGCAACCTTCTTCTATTTTGAAATATTTTTTTTAAATATTTTTTAAAAATCTTACTTATATAATACATTTGCCAAATAACTTCCTAAGGGTTAATTTCCAACAACTGAATTTCTTAATTAAGGGTATGTAAATTTAAAAATGTTGATCATTTCAGATAGTCATCTCAAAAGGATCTACTGAATGAATCCCACTACCAGAAGCATATAAGGATATCTATGTCCCTAGAATCTGCCTCATTGTAGCCATTATCAAGCTTTTAAATCCCTCTAATCCATTGTTTTTCAGACACCATGTTTTCTAAATTTTTCTGTAAATGTTTTCTTACTGATTTTTATGAACTCTCTACACACTTAAATACCTTCTATCATATACACCAACAATATATTTCCTAAGTCTCGTGTGTCTTTCAAGCTATATGTGGCATCTTTTTCTGTATGTGAAAGTGTTCAATTCTAGTAATCACACCAGTTATTTTTCTATTTGAATCTTACATCACGTTTAAAATGTCTTTCTTTACTTCTTGATTTTTTTTAAGTTAATTTATTTATGGGGGAGGGGGTAGAGGGCGGGGGAGAGAGAGAATCCCAAGCAGGCTCAATGTTCGGCATGTGACTGTGACCTGAGCTGGGATCAAGAATCAGACACTTAACTGACTGAGCCACCCAGGTACCCCTGAATTTTTTAAATATTTAATTCTTTGGGGTTTATTTTTATGTAGACTGTAAAACAGTAACGGACTTTATTTTTTTCTAACTGAGTCATCAATTCATCTAACATTTATGAAAGGATTTCACAGATTTCCCACGGATTTAAAATACCAACTTAATCATATATAAAATTTTCATATATATGGAGATATATTTGAAGATGCTATACTCTATTTCTGTATGTTTATGCTTTCGTACATTAACAAAGACAGTCCCCCTTCATTTTATCCTTACAAATGAACTGGAGAATTTATACTGTCAAGGCCTAAAATAATTTTGTTCTATTTTAGATTTCATCAGATATCTAAATTAATTTCACTGTTTTATATACCTAGAAAGCATAGCTTACAGTCTGGCCTAGTTGATGGGAGAAGGAAAAAGCAACTTGCATCACCAACAACAGAGTAGATGCCCTCTATTAGGTACCTCATTTGGGATAGGCCCTGTAATAAACTCTTCATATATATTAGCTCATTTAATCCTCAAAACACTCCAGTGAGCTATTTACCTCTTCTTTTCATTTGTAAAGGAAAACACTGAAGCAATCCAAACATTAAGACATTTTCCAAGGACATACAGGGATTAAGTAATGAAGCTGGGATTTGAACTCTAGCCTGTCAAATCCAAATCCTGAATTTATAACCAAGTCTGAAGCATACTGATTCAATTTCATTTTTTACTGCAATTTGAAAACAAATTTTCAAGCTTACCAAAATCTGAATTATTTCCTCAGGTCTTTTATCCTCGACTGGAATCCCATTCACTTCCCTAAGTTCATCACCAACATGAATAAGACCTGAGAAGTAGCAAATTCGGGAAATTAGTTGACCTACTTACAAAAGAACTGCAATTTGCAATTGTGTCTAAACTTAAAGCATTGTTTGGTTCCTTTAATACATTTGAGGAGACCTTTATGCTTCTCAGCCTTCAGATTCTGTGCCTCTAAACAGCAGTGAATCAAAGACTACCGCATTATAATGCTGGCAAAAGAAAAAGACATCAGCATCCTGGCCTTTGTCTAGAAATGTACATTATTTTCATTTAATAAAAGAATTTTTATTTTGTTTTAAAGGCCGCACATTTTCAGTAGTACTTTCATTTTATTTTATGTCTTTACATTTATTTATTTTTGAGGGACAGAGCATAAGCGGAGGAGAGGCAAAGAGGGAGACACAGAATCCGAAGCAGGCTCCAGGCTCTGAGCTGTCAGCATAGAGCCATACACAGGGTTCGAACTTGCAAACCGAGAGATCATGACCTGAACCGAAGACGGTTTTTTTTTAAGAAGCATATCTTAATATAGCTTCAGAAGCCTGTGTAACCATACAGCAGAATGAGATTTATCATTTATTTCAACAGATTCCCACAGTTCAACAGAGGAAAATTTCTCATTCCTTGTTTTGATGTATTACATCAAAAGATCATTACCCTCTTAATTACACGTTGGAGATGTTGCCCCCGAAATGCACCATGGCCCGTCCATGCGCCTCGCACTGAAACCCTTACCGCTTCTGTCTGCGGCTCCTCCTCTCATGATTCTAGCCACAATGATGGCTCCCGTCTGCTCATCTTTCTTAATGGTGGCTCCCTTTCAAGGAAAAGAACAAAAGTACTTGTGGGTAAAGGTGCATAGTGGGTGGTAGGAAAGGAGGCAGAAATAAGGATATTCAGGAAAAAGTGAAAGCAATTACAAAAAGTTAAAGGTAGAGGCAGGACAAAGAGACATCAATGCCCCCCCCCATTTTTTTTTTTTTACAAAACACTCCTGACTTGGTACAGGTTTTCAATCAGACATATCATGTAAGGTTTTCAGCACAATTTAAAGACTTTTCAAATCTTTAGCCTCTTCAACATTATGAAAAGGAGACATCTCCTCTTTCCATTATACTACTTTAGATTTGAATACGATTTGTTTTTACCCCTTAACAGCACTGGCTCATTTCACTTTGTCTTTCTAATACCCCATGAAGAAGGGAGACCATATTGACAAGGTTAAGTGAATACAAAATTCTCATCAAAATTAGAAAACTAAGACCCAGGCCATCTGGCTTTTAGTTTAGTGATACTTCTAGAATACCATTATAGCAAAGGAACTCAGCCATAATGATAAAGAGGAAAAAAAAAACTTACACTCCAAAATTAGTCATACTCCTTACCTAATGCTACGATAAACTAATGGAAGAAAGATCTGTTACTCCAAGGTCTTTATGTACTAGGACTGTACTAAGAACAAGCAGAACTAACATTCTGGCATAAGATTAGGAAACAATTCCAAAGGGTCCAGAAATTCTTCATTTATGGATGTTCAGAAGTAAATTAACTGAATGCTGCTTTGTAAGAATACCAAGCACAAATGGTTACTTTGAACACCTTTTTATGACTTTCCTTCTAAGAAACTGGCACTGGTGTAGGAAAGTGTCCTACATGGCATCACACAGCTGAAAAGATGCACATTAGGTGGTGGCAGAATTCACGCTGAGAAAGACAGTGGAGTTTTTCCCGCAGGTCCCTAAACATGTTTATATCCATTTGTAAAAAGAGTATTTTATATAGCAGCTATTACATGCATATCTAATAATAGTAAAAAATCAAATAATTAAGTAATCAGAGGATTTTGTGGCAGTTTTCATCACCAAGCATGCATTCAAGTCCAAAGACTTCAATGAGCATCTCTCCACAATCATAAAAACCAAACCCATAAAGACCTACTACTTAATGGTAATTTCTGCCTTTATTTAAACAGCTTACTTATAGCTAAGATGACTAGAAAGGCAATATCTTTAAAGCTGGTGTGATTAAATAAACTTTTTTTCCTTAATATCTCCAACTTTCTCATCAAAGTATACCTAATAGCAAAAGGGTCTGATAACCTAAGATTAATTACCCATTTTTTAGAGTGTTTTTTTTTTTTTTTACCAGTTTTTTCTTTTTTTGTACTGAGGTAAAATTGGCAGGTAACATTATATGACTTTCCAATATACGCCATTATAATTAGACATCTGTATGCACTACAAAGTAATCACTGCTAGAAGTCTAGCTACCACCCATCACCATATAATTGACCCAATTTTGTCCCCACTCCCAACCTTCTGGTAGGCACCAACCTGCTGTCTGTGTCTATGAGTTTGTTTTGTTTGTTCATTTGCTTTTTTCTAGGTTTCACATATGAATACAACTATATGAAAAGAGATATCTAACTTATTTCACTTAGTATAATACCTTCAAGGTCCATCCATGTTGTTACAAATGGCAAGATGTCATCCCTTTTTAATGGCTGAATAATATTGCAGTGTGTGTATGTGTCTGTATATGCATATGTATTTTCCATATTTTCTTCACCTATTTATCCACCAAAGGACATTTAGGTCCTTTCCACGTCTTGGCCATTTTATATGATGCTACAGTGAACACAGGGTGCATATACCTTTTCAAATTAGTTTTATATTCTTCATATAAATACCCAGAAGTGGAACAGATGGATCATATGGTAGTTCTATTCTTAACTTTTTAACAGTACGGAGAAATCTCCATAGTGTTTTCAATAGTGGCTGCACCAATTTACACTCCCATCAACAGTATACAAGGATTCCCTTTTCTCTGTATCCCCACCAATATTTGTAATATCTTGTCTTTTTGATAATACCCATTCTAACTGATGGGGGGTGATGTGTCAATTATAGTTTTGATTTGCATTTCCCTAATTATTAGTGATGTTGAACATCTTTTCACGTGCCTATTGGCCATCTGTATGCCTTCTTTGGAAAACTGTCTACTCAGATCCTCTGTCCATTTTTTATTTTTTTATTTCTAAGAGAGATAGCGTGAGCAGGGGAGGGTCAGAGAGAGGGGGAGACACAGAATCCGAAGCAGGCTCCAGGCTCTGAGCTGTTAGCACAGAGCCTGATGTGGGGCTCAAACACATAAACCGTGAGATCATGACCTGAGGTAAAGTCGGACGCTTAAATGACTGAGTCACCCAGGCACCCCAGAATTGATATTTTTAATCTTAACTATTATTCAATACTGCTTACCCTAGATCTTTCATCTTTTATTCACAAATGATAAACTCATTACCCTTGCAGTAGCTTATCTATGATGGATATCATCAATTCCTTCCTTCTCTGTAAGTGCATGCCACATTCCCATATCAAGTGGTGAAAATGGTCCTAAGGTATTTAATGCTGTAAGACTTCCAGCTGCTACCTGGGCCTCTTGAAGCACTCTATGGGAAGTCAGACACCATGTAAAAAATAGTTACTGCCATGCTGTAAGGAAGCCCACAACAGCCAAGTGGAGATGTCATCTAAAAAGAGATGTCTGATCAGCCTTCAACTTTCTGGCCGTCCCAATCCAGGCATCAGTTACAGGAATGAAGTTCACAGATGACTCCAGCCTTAAGCCACCATCTAACTGAACATATGAGGGATGTTATTTAAGAACCACTCAACTGGGCCTATCAACCTGTAATATTATGAGATCTAATATTGTGTAGCCACAAAATTTGGAGAGTGTTGTAATACAGAATTAGGTAACTGGAGTAAGTCTCTTGCTTCACTATGAATGACACTATTTTTCAATATAGGACAAACCACTTTGTTGTGCTTAATGCTAGTCCTTTTGACTTATTCTGTGATTCAATGAAGTTGACAAATGTTTATTGAGAACCTACTGTGTGGCAGGTTCTGTTCTAAGAGCTTGTAATGTATTAGTGAAAAAACTAAGTATTTCTGCTCCCTCGTGGAACATCCAACAAGAAAGAAAGGTAATAAACAAAAGATAAAATAATTAGACATATTGTATCTTAGAAAGTGGCAACACTGTGGGTATGATGGGGGCAGGGCAGACAATGTAAAGACACAGGCTTCAAAGAGAAGATGACATCTGAGTAAAGAAAGATAAAAAGGAGATGAAGGATTAGCCAAAGGGAAAGAATAGACAAAACCAGAACAGAGGTGCTGAGATGAGGCTGTAAATGGAATGGAATGATCAAGGAAGACCAAAAAAGCCAGGGTGGCTGGAGTAAGGTAAAAGGGGAGAAGCACTAGTTGGTGAGAGCAGATGATATCAGGGAGCCAGATCATGTAGAACTTTGTAGATTATTGTGAGGGTTCTCGATTTTATTTTCAAAGAAACAAGGAGAAGCTGAACAGGAGAAGTACTATAACCTAAAAGGTTCATTCCACCTTCTGTGTTAAGAAAAGAGCGCAGGAATGCAAGGGCTAAAGCAAGGAAGCAAACTGGGGTCATTAAAATAATCCCGGGGAAAGACGAAGGAGGCTTGGATCTGACTGGCAGGAGGTGAAGTGATGAACAGTCTGGATATATTATTGGTAGAGCCAAAAGGATTTCCCAATGGACTGGAAAGGGTACATTAAGGAAGAAAGGTATCAAAGACTGACTCTGGTTTTTGGCTGAGCAATTAGGAAGATGGGATTGCAATCAACTGAGAGAAGGAATCCTAAGAGGGGAACAAAATTGGGGACAAAGATCAGTTTACTTTTGAACACGTGAAGACAGAGATGTCTACTCGACATTCCAATGGAGATATCAAATACACAGATGGACATACAAATTTAAAGCTCAGAAAAAAGATCTGGAAGAAAAATAGACCTGGGAGTCACTGACACACAGATGAATTTTAAAGCCATGGGCTGGATGAGGTAATTTCTAGAATGTGTAGATAAAAAATAGCATCCCAACACTGAAGGGTTTCTCTGTTACAGATACAAGCCTTAAAACAGGGGTGCCTGCTCCCTGCTCATTCTACCTATCCCTGGAGGGTCAACTATGGACCCTGAGAAATGATTTCCCACTTTCTCCATGATACTAGCCCTGGACTCAACCTTCGTTTTGATCCCTTCATTCTTGACGATTTCTACCTCCATCTTGCTTTCCAAACCCTGATAATCACAATTGTTGGAGGTATTCCTAGTGGAACATATTTCCATGAAAATAAGATCATTTGTACAAAAGTCTATAGTCCTATGGCACAGACGGCACAAGTAAAATAAAGCTGTATCTAATGTTTTAGTACTTAAATATTTTCTTATCTAAATATTTTGAATTTATTCTAGGTGATTTTGACCAAAAAAAAAAAAAAAATAGAGTACAGAGAACTTTGGATTAGACTGAGAAGTTAAAAGTCTGGTTACATTTGTCTTGTTACTGCTGTAAAATGGTTTATAAAGGAAGACCTGCAGCTGAGCCCGCACCAGCATGAGGCCCTCCATAAATCTGCATGTCCTACAGCATTGCCAATATTCCCCAGACCTCCTTAAGCAGGGAGCGCTGTTGATTTCAGGCTGAATCTTTGAAATCAAAGTGGTTTCAAGTATCATCTACTGAACATTTGCATCAAGAACATCTGAGACATTTAAAAAAATCTAGATTCCCAGGTCCCACATGAAACCTACTGATGCAGACTTTCTGGGGGTAGAGGTCGTGAAGTTTGTATTTTAAGTAAGCACCTCAGGTAATTCTTAGGATACCAAAGTTTGGGCACCACTCTTTGAAAGAAGCAAGAAGGACAACCCGGGGAAGAAACTGAAAATTAGGATTGCACTCCACTCACTCACTAATAGAATGTTACTTTCTTAAGCGCGCCTAAAAGGTAATATTTATTATTAATTATTTCTGGATAAAACAGATACAAATTGTTCGAAATTCACGGGGAGGGAGGATGGCTCTGCTCCCTGCATCCTGACCGTTTTTTTCTTTTTCTCTCCTTCCTCAATTCATTTAACCAACCCTCCTCTCAAATGATCACTGTCTCACCTTTCCACTGCAAATACCTACATGATCTGTGCTCGCTGCCTCTCCTCCCTGGAAATGGTCCTCTTCTTCGACAGCTGTCATCTGGAGCTTCTACCTTATCATTCTACATAACATTCATATAATGATTGCACAACACATAAAGCTTACAAAGCATTTCAAATACATTAGGTGCTAGTTGATATTCAGACCACTCTTAGAGAGGAATATCTCCTGATTTTCAAATAAGGAGCCTCAGCCTGAGAGGCTAACTGACTCAGTCCTGCAAGGATATAGAACAAAGAAGTGATAGTAGAATACCTCCCACTTAGGTTATCTAATGCAAGCCTGGTATTTGTTTCACCACATTACACCTCAATCTAACAAACAAAATTACATTCTTATATAATACTGATCAACTAACCCCTTCATTGCTAAACCTTATGGCCTTTCCTATTCAATCATTTGCCAAAAATGTCCTGACCATCCAATCACCAGAATTTTACTTCAGCATGGTTCCCACAACTTAACTATTTGTGATTCTTACCACTTGGAGTCATTCTCCTAAGGATGCTTTAGATTGAATCTTCTTTCAGCTTCTGCTTCTCCCCCATCCTACCCCTTTGGTAGTTGTGGCTTTTCTAATAACCTTTCCCAAATACCAAGTGACATTTGACAAATGTACAATGAAAGTTTATTGAAAATAACCATTTCCTACTTTTTAAACCTTAAATTTATTCACCCAATAATCCTACTTTACCTTTATAATAACTAAAATAATACACTAATGAAAAATCTGGATGAATTAAAGTTCTAGACAAGTAATTCTCCTCACTTGATTTCATATTCCAAGGTTGAAATGACATCTGAAATCTTAATATTCTTCTCAGAAATCCTAACAAATAATTTGGGGATTTCTTCATCCCATGGAGATGTTGTTGTGTATATGAAGTTTTTTATTTTTATTTTTTTAAATGCAGCTCCTTGAACAAGAAACACACAATCAAATTGTGGCTCAGCAGGAAGACAAAGGACAAGTGACTAAAGTAATTTTTTAAAGTAAAATAACTTCAAAGTACTTGAAATTGCTTTAAATTGCCTTAAATATGAAAAATTAATATAAAAAAACCTAGAACTTAGAGAAGTTAACTGCATATGTTTGGGGGGGAAAAGCTTTTATTAACTTATTTTTAAATAATGGAAAAATAGGTAAGAGAATTTTTCATTAATGTAAAATGGACAAAAAGCAGAATAAAAACTATGGATCAAAATGAAACAGTATTAAAATTTTTAAACATCCCACATTTGAGAGGAAGTAGAAAGGAAAATTGCTATTAAGTATATTACAAAGTTGTCAAATTAAACCATGGTACATGAATAAGAAACTCAACAATTCCAGGAGATGCTTAAGATAGCCCCTGAATATACAAATGTTACAAATCCGGAAAACAGTCTCATGCTTAAGAGAAATAATTTTTAAGCAGATTAACAATTCAACCAGTTTTTAAATTTACCTGGTTTCCTTTCCTAAATCTCTAGCCTCTTTCTGGCACATGCATGGCTCCAGTCTCCAAACAATCATATGGAAACTTGAAATTTTTATTCCCATGCCATTTCCTTCTACCCTTGCTACCTGAATGTTTGGGATTTCTCCCCACCCAAGTAAAAATGCTGTGGGGGGAGGGGGGGTGTACTTCCTCTCTTCTCCTGCACTGTGGACGTAAAAATGTGTCTGATCTGAATCAAACATATGTAACATTTGCCACTACCCCAGTTCAGATTCTCATTTTAAATATTCTATATTATATAAACTTGAACAAAAGAGAGCTAACAAAGGATGATGATATCAAAGTTAGGTCTAATTATTTAAACTGTGGCATGCTTATTAGCTAAAGCATGTGATATATTCAGTAACAAAGGACAATAACACAACTTTAGGTTATTTTCTATACTTCATTCGATTGCCTTTTTTTAATGTTACTTTTTTTTTCTTTGAGAGAGATAGACAGAGTGAGCAGGGGAGGGTCAGAGAGAGAGGGAGACATAGAATCTGAAACAAGCTCCAGGCTCTGAGCACAGAGCCGGATGCAGGGCTCGAACCCAAGAACCGTGAGATCATGACCTGAGCCAAAGTTGGGCACTTGACCAACTGAGCCACCCAGGCGCCCCAGGATTGCTTTTAAAATTAAAACTAATTTGCGGCAGGTCTAGTTAACACTTAAAAAATCTCAATGTAGTGCATGCGTAATTGGTTTCGCAAACATTGTGAAGATCTTCTTTGATCAAGAGATGCTCTGGACACAAACATTGCTGGTGATGCTTTAAATGTTAGCCCACCAAACCAGCACACCAAAAACCATGGTCTCTGGGAAAATTAGAACTGATCAAAGAAATTATTACTAATGAATTCCTGAACTCCTCAAGATGGTCAGCCTTTTGATTATCTAAGTGCCTGAAGTTGTCAAGACGAAAAAATGTATTTCTTTTCTGTACAGAAGCCACCAAGAATTAGTCACTGTATGGTGACAGCCCCTGAAACAGATCTCTCTACATCCCAACTGCATGCTATTTATCCTTGCTAAGTATATCACCTTCTACTTAATAAATACCAAGAGATACTCAGGTTATCAGAATAATAAACCACCGGTGAAAGGCACAAACTTATAATCCACATTAAATAATCTTAACCAGGAATACAGGGAGCCCAAGGACCTTCATGGATGAGCACCAGGGGCTCAATAAATCCCTTTGTATTACATGAAAACAGATCTGTGTATTTTTTTGGGTAAGAGTGTCCAATGCAGTTATCAATGTACCAAAGTTGCCCTTAAACAAAACAGGAACACGAAAAAAAACTGTAAGGGAAAAGTAGAAAGACAATATGGTGTAGAAGAAAAAACTAGTATTCGAAAGTTAAAGAGCCTGGACCTCCATTCTACTACTCATTAGCTATGATACTTAAGTAAGCTGCTTCACTTCTTTGCATATCTGTTTCCTAGTCTATAAAAATGGAAAAAAAAAATTGATACCAACTAGGAGGATAAATATAACATAAGTAAAGTACTTCAGATAGTGCCCAACAAGCACTGCATTATACCAGGCTATTTGCTTTAAGAACACCAAAATGTCTTAATTAGGGAAAAGGGCGGGGGAGGGGGGGGCCACAACACATTTATAATCAACAGGTAAATGGTGAAATTTATTTTTCTCCTGAATGCAGTTTCAGCAAAATATGAAGACAGTCCGTACTCACATCCTGTTTCCAATGTGCTACGCTAATGTGCCACACAAATTTCGTGACTTAAAACAACACAGATTTGTTATCTTACAGTTCTGGAGGTAGGAGGGACAAAATGAGGTCCTGGGGCTAAAGTCAAGGTGTCAGCAGGGCTGTATTCCTCCAGGGGCATCTAGGAGAGAATCTGATCCTCTCCTTTTCCAGTTTCTAGAAACTATCTGGGATTCCTTGGCTCAGGGCAACATCACAGCAACCTTTGCTTTTATTATCACGTCTCCATTTTGTAACTCTGACGTCCTGCTTCCCCTTCCCGCTTCAGTAGAAACCTCTGTGATGACACGGGGCCCACCAGATAATCAGGATAATCTTCCCATTACGAGATCCTTACCAAATCTTGACAAGTCCCTTTGCTATCTAAAGCAGTATTTCACAGGTTCTGAAGATTAGGACATGACATCATTGGGCATGGTGAGGAAACATCATTCTGCTCACCACAGACCCCCTGAGGCAATTTGACATTGTATAAATTCTGGTGCTAACATAAATAGGTGCACTTACATTTTTTATGTTTATTTATTGGGGAGGGCAGGGGACGGAGGGCCAGAGAGGCGGACAGGGGATCCAAAGTAGGATTTGCGCTGACAGCAGAGAGCCCAATGCGGGGCTCAAGCTCTCAAACTGTGAGATGAGGACCTGAGCTGAAGTCGGACACTTAACCTACTAAGCCACCCAGGTGCCCCTACATTTACATTTTGAAATAACAGACATCTGATTAATTTCTCCTTTACTTTAAAATAAATCAGCTTTCTAGAAAAGCCATAAGCAATTACTTTTAGTTGCACCATTTAGTCTTAAATCAGCTGTGACGGGCTCCTGGTATGCTTTCTTTTATAAATGTCAACGTCACATTTTACAAATTATTGCTATTTATAACCAATGAAATGCCTCCATTTTATTTGGCTTTTTTTCTCATTTTTCTAAATAATGTTTTTTAGACACATATGCCCTATTTACTTTTACGTTTAAAAAGACAGAAAAATTATGTTTTAAAGAGAGAAATAAATGGTGTGTTGCCACCAGATTTGGCTTTATCATGGCATCTACTCAAGTCTGAACATAAACTGTAGAACAAAACTAACCAGTGGTTCTCTATTTTTGACCAGACGAATGATTTTCACGGAGTCTTCCTCATCGTCAATATCATCAGGCATAGGAGGTAATACCGGATCGTAATTCTTCTGAGCCACAGTATCGTGTACAGAGAGCAAAGCCTATCAAAGAATTTGGGGGAAAAAAAAATCAATCAAATATAAAAATCCCACACACTTCAAGCTGTAAGGAAAATCAAACTAACTGGTGTTACAATTTTGACCTAACAGTGGTAATAGGCAATTACTTGAAAAAGAGGATCTTAGGAACGGGAGTACATAGAGCGGCCGACAGCAGCTCTGAGCTGCCCACCCCATCTGTGCCACTCATGTAGGACAAGAATCAGCATCCAAGTCCTCTCACCTGTATATTCTCTGGTTCATCCATATAAGGGTGGCAGCTAGGGACAGGGGTGGGGCTTAGTACCTTGGCTAGGAGGAGAAGGAGGTGATAGGTACATTGTTAATGAGCCAGTAGGAGTCTGAAAAAACTATTTTTCCCTTCCTACTTTTAGCAGAACACACAAAAGGAGCTGACCAATGCAACTGACTTGCATTCCTCTCTTATTTTCTCACCTTTTCATTTGTTGTAGGTTAACTAATATGTGTATAAAAGAATAAAATAACCGTTTTTCTAGGTATGACTGTCATGGTGGTTAAAACTCCACAAAACCCGTTCATTCTGGACCAAAGACCAGAAAACCACTCAACCTTGACACGTCACAACTGTTTTAGGAGAGTGGGGTTTAGACTTTTAACTAATTCGTTCTCTACCAACCCCACCACACTCCATAAATTACTCTAGCCAGAAACCTAGAAGTCATCTTTGAAACCCATCTCTCCTCCATGCTACACTCCCCAACACCCGATCCATATTCTGTTAAATTTTCCTAAATATTTCCTAAAACGTGTTCTCTTCTCTCAGCTCGAGATCAGAGGCTGGCAAACTATGCCATCTGGTTTTGTAAATGAAATGTTACTGTGTCATGTCCTTCATTCATCTACTGTCTATAGCTGCTGTCATGTTATAAGAGCAAAAACTTGAGTGGAAGCAATAGATCATTTTTTTCAGGAAAACTTGGGAGACACCTGATCTAGGACATTGAGGTCATCCTGTTTTACCTGGAGAATTGCAATAGCCTCTCTGTGGTCCAGCTGCATTGCCCTATGGTCCATTTTTCCAAGATTTTCACATTTTCTTTACCCACTATGCCTTTGAGGGACATTTGGAATGCTTTCAGTTCTTGGCTATTATAAATAGTGCTGCTATTGATGTTTCCTCTCTTTTGATGCATGCGCGCGTGCGCGCGCGCACACACACACACACACACACACACACACACTATATGGGTTAAGTATAGTTGCCCTTGAACAGCATGGGTTTGAACTGCATGGGCCCATTTATATGCAGATATTTTTTGATAAATACAATACAGTATTCTAAATGCATTTTCTTTTCCTCATAATTTTCTTAACATTTTTTTTCTCTAGTTTACTTTATTGGAGAATTATATAGTATATAATATACATAACACAAAATATTTTGCTATTGGTAAGGTTGCCAGTCAATAGTTGGCTATCAGTAAATTCTGGGGAGTCAAGGAGCACCTGGGTGGCTCAGTCGGGAAACTGACTTTGGCTCAGGTTATGATCTCACAGTTTGTGAGTTCAAGCCCCACCTTGGGCTCAGTGCTGCCAGCTCAGAGCCTGGAGCTTGCTTTGGATTCTGTGTCTCCCTCTCTTTCTCTGCTCCTCCCTGACTCATGCTCTGCACCTCTCTCTCTCTCTCTCTCTCTCTCTCTCTCTCAAAAATAAACGAACATTAAAAATTTTATTTTTAATTCGGTGAGTCAAAAATCATACAGGAGTTCACAAATTTCTAACCATGTAGGAAGTCAGTGACCCTAAGTCCCTACATTGTTCAAAGGTCAAGTGTATTTAAGAGAGAAAACTCTGGGTCATGGGTTCTAAGTGTGTTCACTGGGTCACTGGGTCATGGGTTCAAAGTGCCTGTCCCAATTGTACTCTTATGGACAGCTTAAGTGAGTTCTAGTTGTATCACATGAGCCCCAACATCTTATATTAGGTTCTTTTTTTTTTTTTTAATTTTTAATTTTTATTTCTGAGAGAGAGAGAGAGAGAGAGAGAGAGAGGGAGCATGAGCAGGGGAGGGTCAGAGACAAAGGGAGATAACAGAATCTGAGGCAGGCTCCAGGCTCTGAGCTAGCTGTCAGCACAGAGCCTGACGTGGGACTAGAACCCACGAACCATGAGATCATGACCTAAGCCAAAGTCAGACACTTGACCGACTGAGCTAACCAGGCGCCCCTTACATTAGTAGTTTCAATGTGGCATTTCTGGATGCATAGTGGTATCTTCTTATGGTTGAAATTTCATTTTTCTTATAACTAATGAAACCTTTTTGTGAGATGCCTGTTCAAGATCCTCACACATTTTTCTATTCCATCTGTATTTCTCTTACTGTTTCGTAAGAATTCTTTATAATATACTGGACCCAAGCCTTTGTTGGTTACATATGCCACAAATGTATTCCCATGTTTGGTAGCTTCCCTTTCCCTTTCTTACGTTTTTTGATTAACAAGGAATCCAAATTTTTAATGAGCCTAATTAATGTTTTTTCCTTGGGGGCTGGTGTTTTTTGTATCTGATCTGAGTTTCAAAGTCAAGGCATGAACACACCAAGATGAAGAAATATCTGAAGAGATAATGGCTGCAAATTTTTGACAAATGATGAGAGAAGGAGTCTGAAAATTCAGGAAACCCAATGTATTTATTAGGAAGCAGAACAATGAAAAGAAATCCAAGATTTGATACATCACAGCAAAACTACAGAACGCCAAAGGCAAAGAGAAGATCTTAAAAACATCAGAAAGGAAACACAAACAAAATGACTGACAGCTAACTGATTAGCAGCAATGGAAACTAGAAGCCAGTTAAAATTATCTTAAAAATGCTTACAAAAAAATAACAGCCAGCCCCAAACTGTGTATTTAGCAAAGGCATCATCATTCAAGAATGAGGAGGAGAGCCAAGATGAAGTTAATATGAACGCCACTGGAAAATAACTAAAAAACAGAAAACTTAAAAAAAAAAATGAAACAATTTTTTTTAATGTTTTATTTCTTTCTGAGAGAATGAGACAGCATGAGCAGGGAAGGTCAGAGGGAGAGGAAGGTAAAGAATCTGAAGCAGGCTCCAGGCTCTGAGCTAGCTCAGCACAGAGCCTGATGGGGGGCTCGAACCCACAAACCGCGAGATCATGATCTGAGCCGAAGTCAGATGCTTAACTGACTGAGCCACCCGGGTGCCCAGAAACAATGGTTTTAAGACATTGGACATCAGACAATGAAGGATAGTGATCACTGGGAGAAAGAAAACAAATGTGAGTCTCAAGCCCAGAGTTTGCTGGCTGTGCTGGGGGAGAAGGTTCCAGGTGGAACCCACTGGTCTCCCTAAGTTGAGCCAATAGAGCTGGGAATGCTGGGAGAATGAGGAAGTAAAGTTCTCGGTGTCTCAAGAGTATGAAAGAGAAGAGAGTGGGAAGGACACCGGGCTCTGGAGAGCTTCAGGATGTCTCCCTTGAATTCTTAGCCAAGCCATACATACAAAAAAATTACCAGAAAGGATTAGAGCAGTGTTTATTAGCTGAGAACAGTTTTACTCCCTAGTAGCCACTTAGCAGTGTCTGCAGATATTTTGGGCTGGCTCAGTGTGGGGGATGCTACTGCCATCTAGTGCATAGAGGCCAGGGAGGCTCCTAAACATCTGATGGCACACAGGATGATCCCGCCTCCCCTGCCAGCACCTCCCCCCCCCCCAAATAATTTTCCAGCCCCCAAATGTCAACAGTTCCAAGATTAAGCAACTCTGTGTTACAGGGAACAACCACCAAAGCTCACACAGGGCAGGAAGAGCTCCTGTTTCCAACAGCAGAGAAAAGCTTGGCATTCACAGGTCACTGAGGACAGTGAAGAGAAGAATACGGTCTTAATCGTGGTAAATACTCAGCCCAAAATTAAACACGGCTAAGATCTCACCCAACAAAGCTTAAAAAGCAAGACTCTGAAGAATCAACACATTTGCAAGTAACTTAATTATATACCAGAGAGAAAACCTCAAGAATATTATCGATAAAAGTATAAAAACATCCAGCATCGAACAAAGTAAAACTCATACTGACTGAGAATCAATTACTGACAAAAGCTATCAGTCATGTGAAGATAGAAGAAAATACTACTTATAATGAAGAAAAACATAACACTATAGAACTAAACCCTGAAAATTACATAGATGATAGAATCATATGGAACCAAATCCTGAAATTACACAGACTGCAGACAAGGAATGAAAACAATTACTATCACTATATTCCAAATGATTAAAAAGTTAGATGGAAGGTGGAAAAATGAGACTTGCAATGTACAAGAAAGATTCAAATCAAACTTCTAGGGATAAAACATACAATGTATGAAATGTTTTAAAAAGAACACTGATGAGATTAACACTTGTAAAGCAGTTTATCAACTATCTAAAATGAAACAACACAAAGAGAAGACATAGTGAAAAATTATGAACAGAACATTATTGAGCCATAGGACAACTCATATACATCCAATTGACATCTCCAAAAGAAAGGAGAGGTGCTAAAAAAATATATGAAGAAATATGGCAGAAAGTGTTCCAAATGTGATGGGGGGAAAAGAGCCCCTATCCACATCTAAGCACAAAAAGCATAAAATAAACAACACTGTATTGCTTAAAACCAGTGAGAAAGAAGAACCAGTATTGCTTAAAATCAGTCAAAAGAAAAATTATAATAATGACAACACGTTTCAGAAACGTAAGCTACAAGATAAAAGAGCAATGTCTTTAAAATACTCAGAAACCATCAACCGAAAATTCTATACCCAGCAAAAATATCTTTTAGAAATAGAGGGATATTGAAGACTTTTTAAACACATACAAAGGCTGAAGGAATTCATCATCAGAAGACGTGCATTACAAGAAATGGTACAGAAAGTATTTCAGACAGAAAGATAGGAATGACAGTAGATAGAAATATAGGTCTATAAAGAGTTGAATGAAGAACATCAGAAATGTCC